AAGTTAGCCAACCCTTAGAAGTGTAAACCACTTGGCAAAGAGCCCAGGAATGGGGTTCTACCTTTTCTATTACAAAAACTACATCAGTAACTCATATGCCATCTAAAAGAAGGACGTTAAAGTTTCACTAATCAACAATCTGGGTATAGGCTGAAAAAGCCATCTTAGATTTGTGCTTTCTGCGCACACACAAAAATATAACTGACTCAGTCACTACAAAATAGATTTTGACTAATAGGAAAAAAACCAAACTTATAAAAAATCTAATGTTCATCTTGGATACAGAACTCCAATTTTTAAAATCCTCAAATATATTTTGTTTTAATGTGTTATTTCAAATGCTAAAAACATGGAAGGGTCTTAAACACTTTTAAACAATTCTCTCAATAATTTAGAAATATTTTTCTTCAAGTCAAACTTGATTCAAGAATAATAACATTTGAAATTCAGTAACTGTATTCAGGAAAAAGAAATAAAAGTAATAAATTATCCACTGAATTGCTGAGATAAAAGAACTCTACAAGCAAAGCCCTTGCTGCCTCAGTGAAGTGAAGTGTGCAGCCATAAAAATGAATGCACATTAACTTGGTAGTCTGCTGATAACCTATTTGCTCATAATCTAAAATCCTTAGATTCAATTCATGTTACATATAAAAGACTATTTTAATATTTAGTGAAGATTATGACGATGAATACTGTGAATGTATTTTAAAGTTTTCCTTCCAAAAATGCATCTTTTAAACTGGAAAATAGCAAAACAAAAAAATTAATTTGATATTGACACATCTTGAAACTTTTTTTTTTTATCAAGTTACAATGTTTTCAAAATATGAAAAGCTCTAGTGGGATCATGAAACATGCAAAGAATTTGAAATGCACATTTACATTACCCTGCACTCCCCACTAAAATCTATTTACTGAGACTCCATGGAAAGAAGGCCAAGGCCCCCACAAATGCAAAGCTTTCACACTAGAAAAGCTTCTTAAACTGTTCCGCACTGTACTGTGAGAAGACAGTTTTTAATGGAACTTCACGTACCCAGGTACCACTGTTTTCCTAAAAGATGTAATCATAATGTGGAATTCATGTTTATTTCCATAACTGAGTTTTCTGGAGAAGGAAAAAAAAAAGCAATTTTACTAGTTATCATCAGAATAGCAAAACCAGCTACTCTGAAATAAGGTGGAGGAGGAGGGGATGAATGAGAACCCCAAGTCTACTGGAGAGGCCTCCTGTGAGCGGCCAACCGACGCCCATCGTGACTGCACCAATGCAGCTTCAACCATCTCAACCCTCACTGCCTTCCCATGTGTTTAACAAAGCTCAGCTCCTCATGACCTCCTCCATTGATGATTCCACTACTCAAGTTCTTCATCCAACCTATTATGGTTGGGGGGGGTGTCTGTATTTGTGGGGATGAAGAGGGTGCCCTGGCCCCCCTTCTGTCACCAGCCTGGTCCAGGATGGCTCTTTTTTCCACCCCAAGGCACTGTGCTGATGGCAGGCAGGCCGCCCTCTGCACAAGGAGGGTGCAGCCTACAGCAGGGGCTGCAACATCACTTGCTCCCTAACAGAGGCCCAGGATAACAGATGCATGTTCAAACATCCCACTAGAGAGCAGGAATCACTTGGCAGATGCTCATGTTTCTTACAAATGTGACATGTCATATGCACTTTCACAAATATCCATAAGGAATCCTCATCACATTGGCCAAGAAAGACCAAAATGTAAGTGGCTTGTAAAAAGGATACCATGAAAATAAAATCATAGTTGTAAATACTTTTCAAAGTGCTTTTTTGAATGAAGGTGCTGCTTATTTATTTAACCGCCTCATTTTATTGTCCAGCCCATTGAGGGTCAGTCACAGGTTCCCAAAGTGGATGATACCACCCCCTGGGGGGTGCTGGAATGATTGGGGGTGGGGTGGGGGGTGGTAGTAGACTCGGGTGCAACTGCAGGGTGTTGAATAAAAATAAGGGGGCAGCAGGAGCATAAGGAAAGAAGAGGAGAAAACTGAAAAACTGTTTGTGTAGGTTTCATCTGCTGTGTAACAGAGTTAAAGTCATAGTGATTACACTGTTTTCCAAATAAATGCACAAAACATAAGTTATAACCAACCAGTGGTCAAGTTTGCTCACAAGTCTTAACAAGCAAGCACTGGCCGGTCAGCTTGTCGTGCATTCTGGGGAAGTCCAGCACGCATCAGCAGGAACATATGTGTGTAAAATGACTTGTTCACAATATGATACTACACGGTGACGTGACACAATATTGTGTCATCAAAATTTCAATGCAGGAAAAAACCCCCAAAATTGACAGTAAATTGTTAAATTTAAAATGCATCATTTAAAAACATATTTCATGGGTTTTTTTTGAAATGATGCAAATTTAAAAAAAAACATTAAAGGGTTAAAGAAAGTAGATTTCCAAGGCGGTGCTGAGCAATTTTTTTTCTTTTGAAATGGGAGTGGTAGGCTAAATAAGTTTGGGAACCTCTGGGGTCAGTAAAAAGTGTTTATTTTGACATTTTCTAACATAATGTTATTAATAAAATAATTAGCGAACACTGGACTTACTTTTACATCAGTTAATCCTCTATTTTTAGGTCAGTTTTGAATATCATCTAATGTTTACTTAGAGACACTGGAAACCTCATTTAGGAGTGGGGAATGATCAGAATATGTTAAACATTAAATAAGTAAATATAAACTTCTATCAGTCACTACTAATCTCAAGAAATCATTAATTTCTGAGTCAGGTTATAGACATCTCCTGACTTTTCTTTACAGTGAAACATTATGAACGTTGAAATGCTCCCACCATCTCATATCCAGAAGTAACCTGGAGGATCTTTTAGTGATAAGAGAACAAATCCCAATGAAGACCCGGAGCTTGAAGGCTCCTGCCAGACCCGGCAAGGGCACAGGAGCTTTACCAGAGCAGGGACCCCTAGCCTGGGATTTGGGAGACGGGCAGCTCCCAGTAACTCATAATTCATTAGGAGGAGATCGTGCGGACATAGTGAGGAGGTGGCCTAGCACAGAGGCACCCCACAATTTAAGAACCCAATGCCCACATCTACTCATGACCAACAAATGTATTCCACCTGAACATCGTCATCACGTGGCTGGAAGAGGGGACGGGATTTGTCAGGCTCTACACGGCCATCCTACACCACTGACAAGGGTCTTGGAAGCTCAGTGACCCTCTTTGAGAGGATCCCACTCAATATCTTTCATGAATTCAGAAATGTTTTCTTTTCCTCCCAACTTCAGAACCACTGATATCAAGTGAAATGCATGTCTGTGATTAAGAAGTTGAAACCAACCAACCAGCCTCAATTCTGAAGCTTTGAGACTTTCTTAATTACATCTTTATGCCCATGTACACAGCCTGCTTTGGTTAGTCAACATGGGACCGATGCCTGTGTGTGCAAACCACTGACTAAGGTATGTGACGTGTATGCGTGACAGTGGGAGCTAGCAAGGTTCAAGAGAGAGCCCACTGTAAGCTCATCGAGAGCAGTGAGGTGTCTGGGAATATATACAGGCAACACATGCGTGTGCACAGAAACTACCATTGAGAACTTGAGCAAAACAATGCAATCGGAAGGGCAGGATAATGAGTTTACCAATGAAACCTGTGCTTAGGGAACCCAAGAAAGAACCGGTCACATTTAGGTAAGTGTAAATCTGTGATGGTTTCCCAGGAGATGATGGCCGTGATGTGATGAAGTGCCTTGGAGGAAGAGGAAATGAGCAGTCAGAAGAAGAGGGAGGAGGGGACAGGGTAGAATAGGGTGGTGGCAAATGCACAGAAGAGGGGAGATCTAAGCAGAGAGGAAGACTTGACCCGGCTTGGTTAGGGATGGAGAAGGGAGGACAAGGCCCGAAGAGAATGCCAAGGTTTTGAACCTGGAGAATACAAGATGCTCCTGCTATGAACAGTGACTCTGGGGGAAAGAGAATCACTGCAAATTCAGGAGAAGGATCAGAGTTCCAAGGTCACTTCAGAATTGTGTGTGAGCAGAGTGAAAAGACAGCTTCCAGGCTAATGAGGACCTTAGGATGACAAATCAGAGAGACACAACAGACTGAGCTGAAAGGCTTTCAGAAACCAGGATCAAACAGGAAAGAGATTTCAAGAACAGGGGCCAAGGAAGCAAAAACGGAGGAGACTGGACTTGGCCAAGCTACGACGGCCAAGCTGTGAAGATGTTTTGCACAAGAGTAAAGAGGAAATGTTATGTTAAAGACCTAAACAGGCAGAAAACACAGACAAGTCTTTTCACGCTCAGCCACCAAAACCAGAGGCAGAGAACAGTAATAGGGCGAGATGAAGATTTCTGCTGTCATTTCCCACAGAGGGAACTAGCAAGACACAAAGAAAGCGGAGGCAAGAGAACTAAACGTATTGGATGCTTTAAGCCTCTCAAGTGGAGTCGCAAAGATAACACTCAATACGAAGTAGTGGAGAGAGCACTGAACTTGGAGTCAAGGGAGCCCTGGGCTCAAACCCCTCCTCTTCTCCTTGCTGGCTCTGAGCCCCACTTAAGGTCAGTTTCCTCATCCTTAATGCCACCAGAAGGAGCCATTACAATGGCTGTCATGAGGGTCAGAGGGAAGTAAAGTGCTTTGTGAAATTCAAAGAGTTATCAAAATGTCAGTGACTGTGACTCTCCGTATCAAGGTTGGGCACTATTTAGGGGGACCCTGAATTCTCCCAGTGATAAGAATCCTGAAAGAATTAAAGCTCAAAGACAGTGCCTGTCTACAGCACCCCCTTAGCACCTCACCCAGGAAGATGCTCAGCACTGACAATCAGGGACCACTTATTGAATGACAAGGATCTCAGGGAGAAGCCTGCCTCGCAGAAAGGAAATGAAAACACAGCCAATCAGAATATCTCTGAAGGCATGTATGTGTGGGAGTGACAGAAGAGAGATTTGGGTTGGTTCATATTAGAAACAGAAAAGCAAAAAGGGATTCCACAGTCAAATTAGCTAAGACATAATTTGATTCTTAATTATTTTTAAAACCAAAGACTGATGCCAATGGTTTAATAACATGCAGAATTCCTTCATGCATGCTGACCACAGTGACCTTCTTTTCAGTTATACAACAGACTCCAAATGCCCTTGAGGTAAACATGGACGTAGAAGCGAGGAGTTTTCTAAGGCCTTCCCACGAAGTCTGACTGACACAAGTTGAAGAGCTGAGCTTGTGTCCTCTCTTTTGCACGTCGTCCACATTTCACAGGTGCCCAACGGCAGTGTAACAAGAGGTCCTGGCTTTGTCTGACAACCAACTTCATAATTAGCTGACTTAGGTCTTCACTGATAGAGTCGGACTGGAGTTCTAAGGAAACCATATAAATGTCATGCCCAGCTCAATTATTTACAGCTTGGTACAGTGGATTATTGATTCTGTTGGTGCCTTAAAATCACACAAATTCTGCAAAATCTCAACTAAAAAATGGGAATAGACACTGATGAACCTGATTATTTGTCCTAGGGGCCACACAGAACTTTAGACTGAGAATTTTGCAAAAATTATTTTGGCTTACAAATTTGTCAAACTACCAATCGGCTTAACACAATACATGAAAAGCAAAAAAAAAAAAAAATTTCACACCTCAGTTCAGGAGGGGAAAGTGAGCTGGCCTGGCAACCCGAGGACCTGCCTTAGCAGTCACCTGCTCCCTGGGTGACCTAAGGTCGGTGACCCCCAGAGTAGGAGGTTAGACCAGCTGATCCGTCCCGTCCCTTTCTGATCCCCACTGGGGCCCTCAGTGATACCTCCATGTGACAACAGACCTCAGACTCCCAGTTCCCTGATGAGAATGTTTTAAATGTCAGGATCGTGTCTTACACGGATTTGTGATGAGATACTTGAATTTTAAAACGTTCAGAAACACAGGTCCCCGTAACACTACTCCCAGGCAACAAGCTCGACCCTCACCTTTCCCGTGGAAGTTTCTAGTAGAAACAGGCAGGGTCTCAGAGAGAGAAAGAGTGAGATCCGAGAAGCCAGGAGGGGTCTGGGTTAAGTACCATTCCCATTCTTCTTAGCTGTGCCTGTGCAAGGTCACTGAACGTTTCTGAGACTGTTTCCTCCTTTGTGAAATGGGGATGAACAGTTCCAGCAATAATCATCACACAGAGTTGTCATGGGGACCAAAGCACAGAAATAATATACATGGAGAGCGCCTGGCGAGTCCTAGCGCACTACGTTAAATGTTGGTTATTATTAGGAAATACAACACCACAAGAGAGAAGAAGTTTCAGCAAGTGCACGCCTACATATTTTTAACTGTACCCCTGTGACAACAGAGTGAACTTGAGGTCTGCCTGCGCAGGTGAGGCGGGGGTCTTTGCGAGCGAGCGCTGGAGGGCTGTGGAGCATCTACTGGGGTGGCTGCAGCACGTTCAGATACTCTGACTGGCCCAGGTGGTAGGTGGTGTTTCTTCCACAGTCGACATACTGGTACCGCTCTTGGGAGGTTTGCTCAGGGTGCCCAAAGTAGGTAGTTGTCACGGTCACTCTTTAAAAATAAAAACAAGGATGAGAAAGAAAAGGACGTGTACCTATGCTTGGCAGTCACCTGAATATGCATGATGGAAACCATCCTGCTCCAAGTGCTAACAGTTCAGCCTTGGGGCCAGTGGCCAACAAGGTCCGATTTCCACAAAAGCTTCCCATCCAGAGGGGTACCTGCTGAGCCAGAACAATTTTAACAAAGCAGATTTACTTGAACTTCTGGCAATTCTTCAAAACCCTGTTTTTTTAAATATATTTCATGATTATAACATTTATTTTTTAATCCAAGTTTCACTCCAACGTCAAAGACATGAAGCATGGGGGAAAAAACCAGAAATATCAAATAAAGGTCAAAACCCCAAATCCCAAAGGGATGCCAAGTCCTACTAAAGCATTCCCCAACTTGCAAATGAGGATGTTTCATTCTCAATGTCCCACCCAAAGAATCACGGAATTTGGAGGTGGGAGGGACCTCAGTGGCATCTAGCACGGCCCTCCTACAACATCCAGGACAAACGGGCAGCCGTTTCTGCTCAAAGGTTTCCAAGGGGGGGAACCATTACGCTTCTGGACAACTTTAATGACGGGGAAGTTTTTCCTGAGCCTGAACTCACCTCTTTACCAATTCTATCCACAGTCCCTAGTTCCACCCTCTGGGGCCAGCCAGAATAAATCTATTTCTCTTCCACGTGCACATCTTCAATCCCTGAGGATTCCCCCCCTCCATCCCTGTCCCAAGTCTCCTCTTCTTCAGGCTCAAGAATCCTGTCTTTGAACATCCTTGATGGCCTGTCGCCATCTCGGTCGCCATCACCAGGACCCTCTTATCAATGCCCTTCTCAAACTGTGCTGGTCAGAACTGGCTACTTATTTTAAAATTAGCTGTTCAAAACAGTACCCCATAGAAACAAAGTTATAAATGGAAATAAGGTTACAAGTTCCATGCACAAAAAGCTTACTTAACCACAATGTAGATAAAATATTTCACATTTCAATTAAACAAAACAAGACTAGATGATCCTGTTGCTACATTCTTTAAATGGAAGGAGCACAGCACAGTTCTGCTCTCTCTCTGCCATGTGACCTTGGCCAATCACTCTTGTCAATAGTCTCTCCGCAGACCCCAGAGGGCCCCACCCAACACCGAAAAATGCCTCCCAATTCACACTCACAGTGTGCTCTTGCTAGCTCCTTAGTGCTGCTTTAAGAATATGTGGACAGAGAACTCTACTTCTTGTCTACACTCGCCTACCAGATTCCCAACAAAGAAACTCTAAGGTTGTTAAAAAGAACTTGTTTCTATCAATTCAAGTCTTCTTCTTTCATTTTATATTTTCCTGTTTGTGCTCTTAGTAAAAGGGAAATGGAGGCAGTGAACACAGCTACCTAAATTTGGGGGACCAGTAATTTGTTTCTTTTCCTGCATCTTTAGCTAGCCATTCTTTTTGTCCTTTTCTATCGCAAAGGCAGGCCACTCAGTGACAGAAGTCCAGCTCAAAGAACTGTTTTGGTGACATCCCACATAATCTGATGTGTTGTTATCATCATCATCTATCTTTTTATGTTCTACTATCACTTTTTCTGATTTCTTCTTTAACCCCATATTTGTTTAGCAGATTTTTTTTCAGTTTCCATAGAATATATCTCTTCTTCATTTCTGGAGGAAGATAAACTAACAGCACGATTTTATGACTTTCAGGAATTTCCTTGGAGTAACCTTGCAAGGGAAGCCACATCAGTGAGGCCTGTGACCCGCTCTGAGAGATCTGGGTCACTTCTTGTGCTTTAGGAAATGCGGCTCAGGGGGCATTAACGAACTCGGTGACCACTGAGGCAGAAGGCCCCGTGCCCTGGCAGAGCCTATACCAGTAACATTATTATTGACTTATGTAAGTCAAACCAAGCTGGTCCTATCACAAGCACTGAGTATGAAGGACAAGCCAGCTACCTCCTCACCACTGGCTGGCAAGCCTGGCGACGCTGCAACCAGAGTGGCTGCACGGGGATGGCCGCTCCAGCCAAAGAGTCCTAAAGCCCTGAGAAAGACCCAGCGGAGCTGTAACTTCTGTCACTGAAAGGAGCACAAAAATCACAGGTTGTTGAAACCCATCAATGAGGGAACGTTAAGGATGTAGAGGTCATCTAGTTCCCACCTAGGTGACGTCACCCAGCCTGGACAGAAAACAACCACACCCACTTACTGCATCATGACCACGATGTTGTGCACCTTGATGGAGATCAGCTTGCAGAAATCACTGTTAAAGATAACAGAGGAAGAGGCATCAATGACGGAAAAAGATGAGAGCTCCTCCTCCCCCTCCTCACCCTATGAGGCCCTCAAACCTGATGGTGACACACACAGGAGACTGAATAACCAAGCCGCCCTTATTCAGGGGTCTTCCTCATCTGAATACACCAATGGCTTGGTTCTTTAAAGGAACCATGTGTACAAACACATATCAAACAGTTCCTCTGGAACTGCTGTTTGTCTCTCTCTCTTTTAAATCTAAAGCTGTGATTTCATCACCACGGGGACTTTCTGGTACGCACACCGATGAAGATGAGTTTAAAGAGCACTGAGAGTCCACATGAGGAGAGGCAGGAGCCGAGCCCTGGGAATTCGGACTCCCAGGGCGTCCCCCTCTCTGGGGCTAAATAATGTAGGGTTTTCCTAATACCTTCTGCTACACAGAAATCAAGGTGGGTAGTTTAAAAAAAGTACATTCAAGCTCATAATGCAACAGAGGATAATTTTAAAATAAAATTTTGTAGGCAAAAATACTGTAGTGTAGGAAAGAGATCAAGGCTCAGTTTTTAAAAGATGTTCATACTACTGATTTAAAAAAGAATCCAAACTTACAACATATAACTCATTTCATCTGCTATAGTGGTAGGAACTGTGTAATCAATCTGAAAGATAAAAATGATATAAAAATGGATTAAAGTGATGGTAAGCTTTAAAAGAATAATTCTTCAAATTCCTACAGCCAAAACACCCCATCTCTGCATGTTCAATTCCATGATACTCTTTCCTGATTAAAAGGAGCTGTTGGAGAAATTTAAAACCAAGTCTTTCAAAGACAGTCTGACACATTCTGATGTATTAAAAAAAAATAAGTGAGGAGTCACTTAGAAATTTAAAAAAGCTTCCCTCCCACTCTTTACCTGTTTCATATCTAGTGGTCCAATGTTGGTGATATTATTTAATCGTGCCTTTCCAATAACAGTTTTTGAAAACTGGACTTGTGCTGTGATATTTGCGACTTCCACAGAATAATAGTTGTTGTTTGTTATATTCAGGGTGTTCTGCAAAGAGAAAGAAGGAAATTTTTAACTTGTCTCAAACCATTTGGATTCTAAAATTCATTCATGGCTCAAGCGCCTTTGTGCAGTACTGTACTCTGGTGGAGACTGGGAAAGATCACTCATGGGTGCTGCCAAACACTACAGGGAAAACAGAAAGCAGGTATCCCAAACAAACTAAGGAGGATACTCACGATGGTGCCATTTTGTGAGAAGCAAACACAGAGCTGAATCTTGGAGTCACATGACCCAGGTTAAAGCCCAAGCTCTTCAACTTAATACCTACATGACTTTGGGTAACTGTCAGCCTCTCTAGGCTTCTGATCCCTCGTCTACACAAGGGTCGGGGGTCCTGAATGGCCTCCAACAACCTCCCTCAAAACCATTTTCCAAATAACTGCTAAAGGGCTAATATTAATACACGTCTGACCATGTCACTCTACCCTTAAGAAACCACCTTGGCTCCCTATTCCCTCTATGACACATGACAAGCTCTGTTAAAGCCCTTCACATGCTGCCTGCAACAATCAATCAATCGTTATTAAGCGGCCACCATGTGTTTATGTGAAGTACTATGGATCTGAGTACAAAGAATGTTATTTTTAACAGGGCAGACAGCAAGCATATATACATGTATATGTGTATCTACAGATATAAATAATCAGTCACTTCGTAAATGTTCATTGACACCTACTGTGTGCCAGGCACTGTCCCAACCACTGAGGATACAAGACGAGGCAGAAGACAGTCCTTGCCCTTAAGAAGCTCACAATCTAATTAGGGAAGCACAGCAAACAGATAGAGAAATACAAGCTACACAGAGGATAAGAAGGAAATAGCTGAGAGAGAAGGTACTAAAATGAAGAGAGGCTCAGTGAGGCCTCCTGAAAAGGTAGAATGTTGGCTGGGACCTGGAGAAAGCCAGGGAGGCCAGTTGTCAGGTAAGGAGGGGGGACGGCCAGAGAGAATGCTCAGAGCTGAGAGACGGAATGGCCAGGAGGCCAGGGGCCCTGGATCCACGAGTACATGTCAGGAGGAAGGGGTGAGAAAGACTGGAAGGACGAGAGCCTCGAATGCCAAACGGAGCATTTTGTATCTGATCCTGGAAGCCACAGGGAGCCCTACTGAGCAGGGGAAGGACGTGGCCAAATGCAGGATGGACTGGAGTGGGAAGAGACCTGAGGCAGGCAGACCCCCCCCAGCAGCTCCTGCAAAGGTGCTATCTCAACCCTGGCAACAGCTTGGACGTGAGAGGAGTTTGCCTCAGTTTCTCTGAGTATAAAATGGGTATAATGATTACAACACACATCTTGCAGGCTTGTTGTGAGAATCAATTGAGATGATATTTGTAAAATGCTTAGCCCAATGCCCTGCACACAGTGGGTGCTTTATAAATGCTCATTCACCCTCACTTCCCCTTTCCTTCTCAACAGAACTACAGGGTGATGAAAAGAAGAAGAAAAGGAATTCAGAAGGCAAACCGCCATCAGTGACATCAACAACAATGCTGTCCACATAATTTGTTTTCCCAAAGCCCCGGGTTGCTCCTTGGAGTCTTGCCAGGGCCTCTCCAAGGTGGTGGGAGGATTCCTCTAGAAAACCCTGCTTTATCGCCCGCAGGGGCAGGGTTCAACCTCTACTGCTCCGAACTACAGGTCTGTCTGTTCGATCCCTTGGCCAGTCAGCAGCGTCAGTCAGACCAAGGCTGCAGACTACAACCGGTCAGGGAGCACAGCATAAACACCTCTGGGCAAAGGGCCTATGCCCGAGGTGAGGACACAGGCAGCAGAGACAAAAATAGGGCCGGACACCCCTGGGTGGACTGTGCAAGGACACAGCAAGGAGGAGGTCTGGGACGATGACCACACACACTCAGTCTGCACTTTAGGGCCCTTCCCGCCTGCAGAGAATGGAGGCTGAGAAGAAAAATTGCTCTCTTCCTAAATTGACAGATGTTTAGAAGAAATGACGCGACTTATCTACGAGTCCTAGGCACAAGAGAGATATGAGCAAGGGACTTTTAAGTGATGGAGACAGGGATATATCTCTAATTAAAAGCATTTAAATTCTGTAAGCACTGATCAAGTCCCCATGACCAGTACTGTAAATAAAAGATGGAGATGAAAGTCAGCCCCCTCAAGAAACATGCACTCCACACACATTCTGACACCCAGAAGGACGCATCCCTTGCTGCCACAGGCAAGCAGGCATGGCAGTAATGCCTGATCAGGACAAGTCCAAGGGAGGAGGGGCTGGTGCGCACGAGGGGCGTGCCTCTCGCCCACCACACTGGGCTCTTTCTGGATGACTGCAAGCTCTGCCTGGCGCACGTCCCTGCTTGCAGAACATGAGAGCCCATGGGCCCGCAGAGATGCCCACCCCCACCCCTGGGTGTCTGTCCTGGTGTGACATGACTTTGCAAACAGCTCTGCCCTATCTTCCCTGGAGAAATTTCTCTCTGTGGAGTTGTTCTTGGAATGACAAATTTCCCCCAATAATCGTTTCTTTAAATTCTTTATTCATAAGTAAATGTACACTCTTGCCTTCAGAGAAAGACCCAAGAGAGTCACTGAGTATGATCTACCAAGACATACAACTGTCAGTTACAGTAGGTGGCATCTCTGCCTCATTCTGCTCAGTGTCCTGTCCCAGGCGATGGTGCCATGTGGTTCTCCTGTCATAACCAATCTTCCTAAATAAAGTTCCAATTCCTTAGCCTATGCATAGTATAGCATAGCATACTTGAATTACTGTGTGTTATGAGCTATTGTCATCCCTATTTTACAGTTCAGGAATCGGGGGCAGTCAGATGGAAAGTGGCTTGCAAAGGGTCACACAGCTAGTGAACGCCTGAGGCTAGATGGGAACGCAAGTCTTCCTGACCACAGCCTCAGAGTCCTATCCCCTGGGCTGCCAGCTGTCCTGACCCTAAACTGATACGGATCCTGGGAAAAATACATACACACGGAAGCACAGAATTTAAAAAAAAAAAAGAACAAAGATATTCTGCATAAAGATCTGCACTTACTGTGATATTTAAGTAGATCACCCTCTTTTCGTCGTCAAAACTGACATATGCTGACTTAACGCCGACATATTTCACGTCAATGGAGCGAGGAAACAGGAAGAAAACAGCCAGCCCAGAAAGGAGCAGACACACAAACACAGACGCCATCACATAGAGCTTTCTGGAAGTCACAAAGAGAAAGGAAGCACAATTTAAAATGGAAACACGCCATCAACTGTGTGGAAAGCTCAGTCGAAGTACACATGGACTGATATTTATTTTCCTTGTGCTCTAATCTTTTTTAACCTGATTGGTGATTGTATTGGAACAACAAAATTCCAATTAGAAATGCCCTCTCCAATGTAGATGGGCAGGGGCTGAAGAGCTGCTCGGGGGCATTTGGGATCACAGCCAGGGCATGTCAGAGACAAGCTCTTCACACACCTTGGTGCTCAGTTCCTCACATATTATACACTCATTGTAAAATATTCTTACTTAGGGCCATTTTCCCCTCTAAATATCCATAATAAAGATGATCCTGAGTTTAGCATGGGGTAAAGTAAAATGTTCAACTCTTAGAGATTTCAATTTTTTGACTGGCTTCTTGATTAGTGTGAAAATGTACAGTATTTTAAGTTAATAAAAAAAAAAAGAATGCTAAAGTACATTATACTGAAGTATTTAAGCGAGATTTAATTTATACCTAGTGAACAAATATTGATCTGTATAGTGTTAAAATTTCACAAATAATATTTCCCACTGAAATTAGATAAGCCTTTCCTAGCACCTTAAACAAATTAAAATTTTAATATGACACACTGTATGAGACCCTCAGGGAAGACAAGTGACCTGCAACTTTCTAAGAGCATAAATTATACAGGATATGTCCATCTGCATCAGTGGAGGGAGCTTCTACACTGAAGTACAAGTCTGGACCCCCAACCCCCCAAAACCCCTTCCTCATTAAATACAGTCCACTACTCTGCTGTAGCATCCAATGCAGGCTACCTTGAAATCTGATGCTTAATCTGTGAAGGTTTATCAGTTCATCACTTAGCTTACCTTTAAATTGGACTGGATGGGCACATTCTATGAAATAGCATTGCTCTAAGTCAGTGATCTCTAAACTGTTTTGATCATGTTCCCCTAAGACACTTGGGAGCGCACTACCACCATCAACATTTCTGTATTCGTAAATCAGACATATAAGTACTCTGCATTAATAATTATGTAAAGCTACAGAAGCCAAATAAAAATAGAAACTGACAAAGAATGAGAAAAAGGTGAAGTAAGATTTGATCTGAGAGTGCTCAGACAGCAGCCACTGGAGTTAGCCAGAGGTGCATTTCAGAAATCACTGTGGCAGCTGGGCAGAAGCCGGCCTGGATAGAGGCTGGGAGGCCAGGAAGGAGGCCATTGCAGCAGTACGGGCAAGAGGTGATGGGGTCTGAACAATGGTGGCAGCCGTGGCAGGAAAGCCCAACGGACAGACTGACAGATGTGTTGGGGAGGGAGAAACAATGAGATTCAGAACTGAGCGGAGTGAGTAGGGGAAAAGATAAAGACACCAAGGCTGGTAACTTGGGAGATGAGAAGGGTGGTGCCCTCGAGATAGCTACAGAAGCCTGGAAACGGGCAGGTTTTGGGGGGAAAGGCAATGTCAGGAGAACTGGGATGAAGATCACAACCTCTTCATGGCGGCCATGTCCTGGGGGCTCAGGTGTGGAGCTGATGGAGGTCAAGAAGCCTCACCTTTGGCTATCACAGAGAGGGCGGGAGGCAGCTGCCCCTCCTATCACATACCTCATGGGGTCAAGCCACCGCCCCGACTGTGGAAACTTTGCCCCACTGTTCCCCACAACACTTCTGGGCTTGGTCACCTACATTTCAAGAGACATTGCTCTGAAACATCTCCTCGAGCTAATGAGAATTACAATTGTTATTTACTGGGAAGTTAGAAGGAGAAGGGAAAGGGAAGAGGGGAAGGCCTACTTTGTACTTCTACCTTGTCCAGTGAAAGTTCACAGTGTGTGCAGACAGCCCAGCTCATGAAAGACAGCTACGGTGAGTGCAGAGAAGGGGGCCGACGACCAGGGCTGAGAGAACTCACTCTGAAAGTGTCTCTGTCTCGGGGTTGGCTCCATCTATGACCTGACAGCTAATCTCTAATCATGTTTGCCACAAGGGCAGAGTTGGAAGAGGGATGCATGGCCTTGGGCAATCCCAAGACTCTTCAGGAGCCAATGACACAGCCCGAGGGACTCAAGAGAGAGGAGTGGAGGGGAGTGAAGAGAAACAGAAAGCAGCTCGGCTTCGGGGGATTTCTGGCACAGAAAAAACCCCAGGCTGACAACTCGGCTCTTGGCTTCCATGAAGGAGGCTAAAGGTCCCACTTCGGAAAAAAAAAGAGGAAAAGCCAAGCTTTCCCCAAAGGGCAGAGATGTAATAATCAGTTCATGAATTTGTGTGCTGTAAAACCTATTCCTGGAGGTGACTTTTTTTTTCTTCCAATTTGCTTTCATGGCTAAGTTATCTTGAAGCTTTTGAGTGTAGGGGTGTGTGTGTGTGTGTGTGTGTGTGTGTGTGTGTGTGTGTGTGTGTGTGTGTGTGTGTGTGTGTGTACACAGCTATCCCTCAACCTTCACAGCTTTGGTTATTCACAGGCTGGCCATTGATGACTAAATGGAAAGTTTTGGAAATTTGCAGCCAATATGCACATGTAAAGAAAACTAAAAAAAATCAGGAAGTCATAAATGCATAAACTGTATATTATTCATCCACTTCATAATTTACTACCAGAAGGATGAAAAGATAAATGTGTGAGTTAAATTTCCTTAAAAGTTCCAGTATACTGAAGAAATCTGGGCTGCATGCTGTCTTTGGGAATGCTGTCTCCTTTGTCTCTCTACCATACAGACCTAGTCACATAATTTCTCCCACAGTGATCCCTGCATCTGGCATGTTTTTTGGGAAAAAGAAATCCACCAAGACTCTAACTCATGTGTGAGATTAATCTTTCTCACACAGAAACTGCAACTTTTTTATCGGTGCAGTGTGTTGTTTTACTTGTTTCATGTGTTCAATAAATCTGATCAGAATTGGGGTGGGGCCTGGAGTTAACTGTGGTTTTTCCTATTCACAGGGTCCCATATCCCGGTCCCATGCATGCTAAGGGATGACTGTGTACGCATGTGCACCAAGCTGGGCCCTGGCCACCCGCTTAGTACAGGATGTGTGCTCGGAGGCCGAGCCTTTGGGCACTGAACCACAGTGCTCCCTACCAAGTTACAGACACCTCAGAACTGGAACCATGATGCTCTTCTACGACCCAATGGCAGCCAGAGCAGTTTTTCACAAACACAGAAAGCAGGTAAACATTTATTTCTTTTTATCGCTACTTACGTTCTTCTTGGCCTTAGTCTCTGATCGCTGTACGGAATCAATGCCACAAGCTGATTTTCCTGGCCTACAAATATAAGAAGGACATTAAAAGATACATTTCAATAGACACACAGTAAAATACCATTCCATTGCCAGCAAGGGCAGACCAAGAAAAGAATGACTGAACAGGCTAGCAAGTCACATCAAGACCTCTATTGCCGTGATTCTATGGTAATCAGCACATGTGAGCACAGGATAAGGTAGGGGCTTCGGCAATGGGGGCTTACTCTGAACCACCCTGAAAAACTCCAAGGAACTCAAACGTGCCCAATTGGGAAGTTATTTTCCCAAATAAATAAATGAAACAGAAATTACAATCACATTTTCTATTAAGTACAGAAAATGCAACATGAAACTTAAAGAATTTTCACAGATTTTCAAAAGACCCTCATACAACATCCAAGAAGGAAAACGTTATCAGAAATTAGCTTCTACATCAGAAAGTCTCAGCCTTTTCTGTGTCATGGATCCCTTGGGCAGTTTGGGGAAGCTCATGGAATCTGTGAGAACAACATTTTAAATGCACAGAACAAAGCAGAGGATCATAGAAGAAAGCAGTTACACTGAAACAGTTACCAAGCTAGATTTTTAGGCAGCATAGATCCCTGGTTAGGAACCCTTGTTCTAGGCTCTCTCCCTGCATCCTCCTCTGCCTATCTTTCTAAATCCTTTTTGCCCCCTCCAGTTCCCTTGACATGCCAATGATCAGATTTATCTATGCATCACAACTTTTATAATCATTAGGAACTTTCATAGCTTCTTACGTCTTACAGAGAAAAGTTCACTCTTTATTCTGGCATTCAAGGCCCCTGACAACATGTTTACAATCTATTTCATGTCTTATTACTTATTTCCCTAAGGGATCTTCTCCTCTACCCAAACTGATGGAAATGAGAACACGTTGTATTCTGCACATATCAAGCCCTGTCCTGGAATTCCCTCCCCGCAAATATCCTACCTAATTATAAGAATCTTAACGGCCAGCTCTACTCTTCCCTCCTCCCACAAAGGCCCCTAGATCATCAGATATACTCTGTACAATCCCACTTTTGAACTCATACAATTAATTATACCAATCACTGCCCTGTGAGACCTTTTACTATTTTGTCTTCAGACTGTTATTTAACGCATGTATTGTTAATTCTTATCTGATCACATCTTGTAAACTCCCTGAATCTTGCCAGCTTACAGTGTGTAGACATCTTCAACTGAGAATGCCCGAACTCAAACGCTTTTTCTGCCCCTCCAATCCCTCCCCTTCCTAACTTTCCTATTGCCTTCCAGGGCAACAACTCTTCCCCTGCCCCAGACTCACAACCTTCCAGTGTCCTGCCTGACTCCTCACTCTCTCTCATGCCTCTGCCTGCCATATCCAAGCTGTTGCTAAATCCTGTCAATTTTGCCTTCACAGACTCTTTTGCAAATGCCCCTGGCCTCCTTGGCTCCTACCTCAGCCCATTCTACTTCATCCCCCACTTAGCTGTCAAACAGGGCTTGTGACCATGTCACCCACCTACTGGACCACCCTAGAATCAATGCCTGGCTTTGAGAGTCCTTCGTCACTGGCTCCTCCCACCTGTCCACCCTCCTTGAACCCCATTCCCTTCCACACACTCTGCAATTCAGTGACACCAGCCCCGGCTGCTCCTCACACCACACTCAGCATGTTCCTCATACCTGAAACACATTCTCATTCTCTCTCTCTCTCTCTCTCTCTCTCTCTGTCTCCCCCGCCCCCCCCCCCAACAGCACCTGGCACCTAGCAGGTACTTAACAAATGCTTCATGACTTCCTACTGAAGGCAGGAATCATGCCTCATATGTCTCTGCATACATCACACCATCTAGCATGGTGCTTTACATATAATCATCTCTCATTTTTTGTTCATTGACATAATCACCCCATTACATTCCTTTGGAAAATCAACATTTCGAGAGTGGGCAAACACTTCCCAAAGCAGATGCGTGTTAGTGTTAGTCCGGTTTTCTGTCGGTTTAGGAGTAACAGGTCAGACCTCATTCTAAAACGCTGAGTAATGAACACGTATGTGTGTAATAGTCAGATGTGAATAAAGGTTAGTCATGTGAGGGTGGAATGGAGCAACACAGCAGGAGCTGACCAATGCCCGGGTCTGATCAAAGAGAAGCAGGTTTCCTGGAGGCAAATCTCCAGGGCCTGAAGGTGCCACGTGCCCCGGGGCGGCTCGTGCCCCGAGCCATTAACAAGGCGAATTCACCCCTCACAAAAGGCCAACCTGAGCTCCGCCTTCACCTCCTCTCACAGGTCAGCGCTGCACAGATGCCTGTTCCCTTCCCTGTCACCTGCTTCCCAGGAAATCAAGTGCTCTGCTTAGTGCTTGGCATGGAACCGAGGGAGGCAGGAGGGGGAATCAGCCTCGAGTCACAGAAGAGAAGGGAGGACAGAAGGAATCAGGCTGACGTTTTTGCCTGGCCCTTTATATCGAAGTGGTACAGACCATTGCCAAGGGGAAATCAATAGTCCTTTCCAGGTGGAGAATTGAGGACTACGTAGGACAGGGGATAGTCCTCTGCAGGACTTGGCAGGAAAGAAAGGCTCTTGCCCGCCAGGCTCAGTGAAAGCAGGCTGGCCCCTGGCCGTAACGCCACAGTCAGGGACTGAGCGAACGCACTTTGCCAAGGACAAGCAAGCAAACAGGTTCTTTGGTAGACCAGATCACTGCTTTGTCTTGGTCACTCTGCCTTCCAGCCCTCCTACCCGGGAATGCTGGGGCACGGTGCCCGTTCAATCGGGAACATTGGCACAGAGAAAGAGAGGAGAGTCAGGCATGGCTGGACACACACCCTTGATTTCAGGAGAACAAATTTAAAGGGGTTCAGCTAAAAGGTATGATCCCAAGTCAATCCAAGAGGGATGGGGGGCTTTCATGAATGAAATGAAACAGACACAAATAATGTTAATGAGGAAGAAAGGGAAAAACTGCTTCCATGGAGGCATAGGGAACTCATTGGTCAAATGCGATTTTTAAAATATTGCAACTGATGTTCAATTCCACAATGGAGCCAGGGTGTGAAGAGCTTTAAATGGCAAAGAGAGTAACTTACAGTTGATTCTAGAGGTAAGAGGGGTTGGAAAAGGACCCTGATTTGCCAACATACTCACAGCAGGAATTTTAAGAGCTGGAAATTAGGCAGTCACCTATATTCTGGGGAATGGCTAACCCCACTGCAGTATGTGAGTGTCACAGAATATTACAAAATGCATCCTCATTCTCCTTCAACCCCTCCCTCACCTGAATGTCCCTCTTTCTGTTAAGGGAACCACCGTCCAGGGCCCCGATGTCAGTGACATCCTCAATTCCTCCCCCACCCCACACATATGATCAATCACCAAACAAGTCATTCCCGTCACTGAGCATCACTGATCTCTGTCGTTCTATACGCACACACACGCACATGCACACAGCCAGCACTCTCCCTCAGTCCATCATCTGTCATCTAGAGTAGAGATTGGTCTCCTGGCCCCCTTCTCTTCTGCTCCAACCCAACCTTCACACAACTGAAGTGATTCTCTAAAGTGAAGATCTAATCTTCTAAGGGGACTGGGTCTTATTTGACCTGTGCTTCCCCAGGGCCTAATGTGGAGCTCTGCCCACCATCAGCAACAAGCACTTTTAAAACTGCATTCTGAGGCCTTTTTCTCTGTTCAGGTGGCTTGCTAACACGGGGCAAGGCTTACGATAGAGTTTAGCCTTACTTCTGAAAACTCCATGCATGCATATTGATGCCATCAATTTGGGGGGAAAAGAAAAAAATGTGACGCTACTTACCTCGGGGGATCCTGCCTGTCCCCTGACATGTAGGGCAAGTGACACTGTCTCTTCCGGTGAATTCCACATATGGAAACTGAGAAACATCTCCATTCCTCCCATCTTCATTATGGCTTTCGGAATGAATGAAGCCATTCCTCATATTATCAGACGATGTCATTCCATCATAACCATCGTCTTTACATGAATGCAAAGGCAAGTGAGAAAAGGATTTACCCATGTCTGACACCTACAAAAAATAATTATTGCAAATTTAAGGAAAAAGAAACACTCTCCAAAAGAAAATTTGAGTTATTATTATAATTATAACAAATTAATATACAAAGACAATTACATTACTTTTTAAAGACATCCACTAGTTATTTTAATACTCAAATCCTGGCATGCCAAAATACTGTTGAAAATATGACTTCCTGAATTTCTGAGGATCAAGCTATTTTTATGGTTTTCAGCAAAGACAGGCAGGACAGCCCAAGCGATACAGAGTCAAGCTCTGGATCAGGAACACCTCTGCCACACACAGACTGGCCTTTTGATCCACAACAAGTTCCTTCCTCCGTCTGTGCCCTAGGAAATGCTAAGTCTGTAAACTGAAGCATGTTTACACTGCTATGGAGGTGATGCTTCCTCACCGTGCATTCTCTCTTCCAATAAAATCATAGGCTTTGAAGACAAAAAAGACAAAAAACCCAAGACAGCCGTCCACCGCGCTCCTCGGGGCCATTACAGGCTCCTCCAACTCCTGGAGGGTCTAGTACTATTGAGGAGCAGCTTAGACCTGGGGCGGCCATTTACCAGTACTGCTCTGTGATGGCAGCCAAGCTCTCAGCCCCTTCCCAAGCTTCACTTTCCTGATCACTAGTAAGATGGAAATGACCTCACAGGACGGTGTAAGGAAGGAACAAAGGAGAAAGGCTATACCATGCTCTGCTAGCATTTCTACAGCTCTTCCTATGTGCCAGGCACTGTGCTAAGCACTTGGCAAATACCTCATTTGATCTTCCCAACAACCCTGGGAGGAAGGTATTATTATCATCCTCATTTTACACTTGAGAAAACTGAGGCAAACAGAGGTTATGTGACAGTCTGAGAGCCACATCGCTAGGAAGTGTCTCTGGCTGGATTTCAATGAAGTCGGTCTTCCAGGCCAGCGCCTTCTCTACTGGGAGGGGGGCAACGTTCAGAAACCACTTCTTTTGTTCTTCCAAGAAAAACAGTCAACTCTTATTTTAATTTGGTTTTAGTACAAAATAAAAGAGATTTTCATGTTTTCTGGACTGTAGTTTGATTTCACTTGTATAATGAACTTCTAGTAAAGCTTCCTTCAGCAGAACCAGCAAGCACTCGACCCTGCCCTTCAGTCTGCAGAGTTGCCACACTGAGAGTTGACTTTCTGAGGTGAAAGAGCTCAATTATGTCTCACCTTTAAGACCTATCTGTTTTACCTACAACTAGGAGGCTAAAATAGCTAGTTCTAACTAGTTGTAATCATTCACCTCCACAAGAAAAAGATTCTTTAAGGAGCTAAATGCTCATACCAAAAGTTACCTTGAAAATGATTCCTACATTGTAATACTAATGCAAATAACAACAGTAAAAAAGAGTAAGAATGAGGCTGATGCTCCAATCAGATTACAAATTCAGGGATAAAATAAAAATAAGGCTCTTGGGAATTAAAGTTGGAAAGGACCTAAGAGACTCAACTAGTCCATTCATTTTACAAATAAGGAAACTGAGGCCTAGGAGGTGGAGTGATTTGGCAAGAGCAGTAGAGTCAGGATTCAAGGCTGGGTCCTGTCTTGAACTCAAGGCTCCTTCCACCCTATGGTCCTAGGACCTCTTAATACCAAAGAGAAGGCCGCCAACTTTGGAGTTCTGATTGCAAACCTTCAGGGACCACACTAACAGAAAAGCCCAGAGCAGAAATTCAGACCTGGGCGTTACTCAAGCGTTCTGGCCACAACTGCCTCCTCTAGTCTCCAGGGCCAGCAACACTGGCCCCATCTATTTTACAAAAGTGTGAACAGGGAAGTCCTGGCTATTGCGGCCTCCCATTGGCCCCACTGAGCCTTTCACAACAGACAGCCAGACAGCCAGGGCACTGACGAGTGCCTCCCAGCGAAGGACCCCATGGCCTGTTTCTTGTGACTGGTCTGCAACAGTCCTCCTCGAGATAAGCCAGGAGGCACTAAATACGGCCCATCCAAAGAAGAACTACCTTCCCAGAAGACCACCTTATACACTTTCATCTGTCTGAGTGAATCCACCACTAACAATTTCTTCATAATAGCTGAAATGATGTGAATTCAAAAGAATCAATTGCAACTAAAGTCTGCTTCCAACAGGTTTCCGGAGGCCAAAGAGGTTCCTCGTCCTTCCCCAGCCCACATAAGTGTGACCTGAGCTACTTAATGCTGCTGGTTTGCTTGTTTTTGGGGGTGGGGGGGCAGGGAGGAAGGGCAACATGAATGGCCTCCACAGAATAAACAGATGATCAGCACTGGAGCGGGCAGAGGACCACTGTAAAGTACGTGTGCCTGCAGGGTGGAGAGGACAAAGGAAAAAGCGACACACCTCTCACTAGCAGATCCATGTTTGAACCCTATCCTGGCCATGTGACTGTGGGTAAGTCATTTAACAGGCTTTGACCTTAACTGGTGCTTAGTCAAGACTGAACATCTACAATAGCTAAAATGCATCTAGCACTTTAAGATTCACAGTGATAAACAGTACTTTACGTGAAGAAAATAGAGGGGAACACACCAGGGACAAAGCCCAAGTCTGTAAAAGTCAGGGATGTGAACCCCAATTTGAACATTCCAATAAAACGCTATGACTGGGCCCCCTCCAGATCTAGGGTATGTAAGCTCACCTAGGCAATCTTCTGACATTTCCTTACCCTCCTCTCCCTCTCCTCACCTCCCAAGCCCCAGCTTAGATCCCTGCCTCCCCTTCCAGAGCTCCCCCTCTCCTCCTTTAGCTCAGCTCACACACAAAGGTGACCTTGCTTTGCCCAGACCCACCCTGTACCTACACACGCCATGCCATTCTGTCCCCTGGTATCCCCTTTGTCACTCATGTTCCTTCAATCTCTCCCTCCCCACCAGCTCACCCCCACTGCCCACAAACATTCCCACATCTCTCCTATCCACAAACTAGCCTCATGTGGTCCTTCCACCCGTGCTCACCACTGTCCTCTCTCCCTGCGGCCCTCGGTGGAGAAGACCGTCTAACACCAGCGCCTCCACTTACTTTCCTCAGCTGACACTGCCCTCTCCAAAGTTACCAACATCTCTCTGTGCCCAGACCGAACGGGCTTTTCTCAGTCGTCAGCCTCTCTGACCCCTCTGCAGCCTTGGACGCTGTCCCTTGCCCTCCTCCTGAATAGTATGGATGCCCCTCTGTCCTTCCTGACTGACTGCTCCTTCTCTGTCACTGGATCTCCAGCCAGGTCATGCTCACTCATCAGGGGTGTCCCCAAGGCTCTGTCCTGGGCCCCATTCTCCCTCCATGCTATGTCACTTGATGACCTCATCAGCTCCTGAGGATTCGCAATCATATCTATGCTGAGCACGTTCAGACTCATCCGCCTCTAACTCCCTGCGTTGCATCTCCAACAGCCTACTGCACACCTACTGTGGCCATTTCATAGATGGCTCAAGCTCAACATGCCCCAAACTGGACTTGTCTTTCCCCCCAAAACCTCCCCCAGGTTCCCTAGTCCTGTTGAGGGTACCATCATCCTCCCAGTCATCCCGATTTGCAAACTCCACGACATTCTCACCTCCTCACCACCTCACCCTTCCTATCCAATCTGCCAATGCTGATCAGTTTTGCCTTCCCAGGATCCCTCCCCTGACACCGTCACCGTGCTGCCGCAGGTCCTCATCATCCCAAGCCCAGACCACTGCAATAACGGCCCCCTGGGGTCTGCCTGCCTTTGGCTGCAAGTCTGACAGCGGCAAGTGCTGGGACCAAAGAGAGAATCCTGCCTAGCTAATCGAGCCCTCCATGGCCTGGTCCTTCCTCCCTTTCCAGTCTTCGCACACCTTGCACACCATCACACGCTCTGTGGTCCAGGGGCCTTGCGCAAGCCCCTCCAGCCCAGGCTTCAGGCATTCTCTCCAGGGGTCCCCTAGGCCTGGGAGGCTCTCCCTCCTTATCTCTCTCCTTCCAGGCTTTCTTCAAGCCTCTGGGAAAACCCTACCTTCTCCAGGAAGCTCTTCTGACCCCTTCTCGGCCCTTACTTCTATTCGACTCTGCTCAACAGTTCCCCCATTAGGCTGCAGAGAGCAGGGGCTGCCTGCGCTCTTGCACTGTAGCTCTGCCTTAGCAGAGTCTGGCATGACCACATGAGACCCCTGAGAACTCTAAGTTGCCACAAAGCTGGGCTCCCAGCAGACTCTGCCCCTAACGCCCTCCTCCCAAGCCAGGGGAGCAAGTGGGATGCGAGACATCCAGGGTCCCAACAGCTCATCTGCTGTGTGTGTGTGTGTGTGTGTGTGTGTGTGTGTGTATGTGTGTGTGTGTGTGTGTCTTTTGCTTCCATGGGAAGGGTCTCACGCAGAGGAAATCATGGGTGCTCCAACAATAACAACTGGGGAGAATACAGGGTTAGAGATGGGGAAACAGGCTGCAGAGATCTTAGCAGATGGTCACTGAAAACTTGGTGGCCTTTGGATGACAAATGGCTGATGAACAGAGTGGAGAAAGCACCAGCCTCCAGGTTCACATGTCACCTCCGACACATCGCACAATTTTGGGTTCAGATTTCACCTTTAATGTGTGGGCGAGTGGTTACCATCTGCTGGTCTAACAATAGAGCTGGGGGTGGGCATCTGGGGTCCCTTGCAGTCCCAGATCCAGGATTCTAGAGTTCAGAGCTCCACTCTGGTGCCCCTCCATCATGGGGGCCATGACGCCTATTTCCCCATCAATCAATAAACCCAAAGTGCCCACTGTGTGCCAAGCTCCACACTAAGAGCCGGGGCTACAAAGAAATCCAAAGACAGCACCTGCCCTCAAAGAGCTTATGGTCTAATGGGGAGGCTGAGATGCAAACAAAACACGCCGCACACAGCATCAATGGGGATGATTAACAGAGGGGAGGCTCCCTGAAGAAGGGGGTGCTGCGGGACCTCAATGGGGGCCAGCTAACACCCTAAAACACTGGATTCTCATGCTGTGCGATGGGGGAGGGGGCTCTGCTAACCCTGGGGGGCCCTGTCATTACCCCAGGGCGGGGGAGCTTGGCTATCCTTAGGGGGGCTCCCTCATCACCCCAGGGTGGGGGGGCTCAGGCTATAGTTAGGGGTGCCCCTCATCACCCCAGGGCGGGGGCTCGGCTAACCCTGGTGGGCCCTGTCACCACCCCAGGCGGGGTCTCCTCTGCTCTCGCCAGGCCCCACAGCAGGTTCCCCCGCCCCCCAGGGGGCGGCTCCCCGACATCGGTGACGTTCAGGTCGCCGTCGTCGCAATCGGGGGGAGGGGTCGGGCCCCGCAGGCCCCACCCCCCCACCTCCTCCGGGGTCTCCCTCACCTGGACGGGCCCCTGCGGGCTCCTTCACGGCCCGGCGCTTGCTCGCTCCTGGCTCGCTCGGCCGTCAGGCGTTCCCCGCAGTGTGCCTGCGCGGGAGGGGGGGGGTTGTGGAGGGGGAAGACGGAAGCGAGAAAAGGGCAGGTGCGCGCGCCCTACCTGGAAGCCGCTGTTTACATCAGGAGACACAGTGCGTAGGCGCCTATGACATCATTCCTCCGCGCCTGGATATATTTTAGGGTCAGCATCAGTCATGGATATGCTCATGCATTTGAGCCCTCAGGCCTGAATTCCAAGACTGCTCGCTAGACCACCCTTGTACCCGGATGTGCGCATGTGCACATGCAGGCGCTTCCCTCATTATTTTGGTTTGGCTTTGGCTCTAGCATCAGTCACCGCGAAACGCATGCGCTTGGGCTGCCGGTCCTTGACTTCTTGACCTGATCCTTCAAAGTGGGGAAAAAAAAAACCTCAAGGGAGATGCGCATGAGCACAAGCTATCGGTCCTTTGTACCTTTCTCCCTTTTCTTGGCAGGGGTGGGCGGGGCTAGGAAGCGTCAGTTGCCTGGATGCGCTTGCGCTTGCGCCGTGCATCCAGGCCTCTCCGCTTTTGATGTTGGCATCACTCGGCGATGTGCGCACGCGCTTGTGCCTCTGCTCCTTTCTTCCAGGTGTCTGTTCCTGGGTCAACATCAATCAGCGTATGCGCCATCCGTCCGGTCCGCTCTCCTCCGTGTGCGTGTGCCTAGGCTTAGCTTTGTCCCGAGCCCCTCCGCTCTGCGGGCGTCGGCCTCAGTTGGCCTCGGTTGGCCTCCTCGGTCCCCGTTGCCTCCTCCCTGATTTTCATTCCCTCCACGGCTGCGATCCCATGAGTGCCCCCTCCTGGGCTTCCTAGGAGAACAGCAGCAGCCTTAGCACCTTCTCCTCCCTTTTGGAAGCTTTCCGCGCGCCCGTGTGCGCACGTGGATTCCCGAGGGACGCTGGGCCTGTGTGGGGCCGAGGGTGGCTCGCCCTGTGCATGGACAGTGGGCACAGGATGTCTAAGAAGGAATCTTGAAGCTCCCGAGGCCCCCACAGCAACCTCCTCCAACAAGGCCCATCGGGGCGAGCTTCTTTCTGTGTCTGCTTACACCTGGATTCCCTGCCCTCCAGGGGCTTATGTTCTGCTACTGGGCGCCATACTGCCTGGGTTAAGAACCTGGCCAAGTGGAAAGGGTAATAGACTTGTCACCTTAGACTGATAACACTGCAGAATGAGAAGGAACCTGGGGGGCATCAAGCCTAACCAAGACCCGCCCCCTAAGTATCACCTCTCACCCGGCCTACTGGACAGAGGTTCCCCCATCTTTTGCCTGAAGACATCCACTGTTGGGAAGCTTTTATTTTCTCCATTTGTCCGACATCAGCCTGAAGCTCCACCTCTGCTCTCTGGGGTCAAGGAGAACAAGGTGAACCCGTCTTGTGGGATACAGCCTCCTGTTTCCCTCAAGTCTCCACTTGGCCAGCTCCCCATGGTCATTCCCTTCAGCTCCTCCTGATGTCAGATAGAGGCAGCAGGACTTGGAGTCGGGCCATGGACCCACCAGGGGCTAGCTGTCTGTTTGGGGACAAGTCACTTAATTGCTCCAAGACTCAGTTTTCTCCTCAGTAAAATGAGGCTACTCTAAGATCAGTCCCTGTTTGACAGTCATTGTGAGGAAGGGCATTTGATTCTATCACAGGTGCATTCCTTAATGCCCTATGTGAATTGTAGTCATTATTACCATGGATTCAAGGCCTTGTCCTGCGGTTCGCCTTCCTTGTGTTGGGTGCTTCCCCACTCTTCCATGTGGACAGTCGTCCATGATGTCCCTGCCAGAGCTGAGTAAGTGCCCCATACGTGCTGTCTCCAGGGACAGAGGCTAGCCAGTCACTTAAGTACCGGTCTGAGCCAGAACCCCATGGTTGCTCTATGAAACACTCAGTTCAGGAGCCTGCAGCCCGTCTTCCCCTTTTCCTTAACGGTAGAGTTTTCTTCATCTCAGTCTAGTAGGCAAAGTGACCTCTACCCTCAGAGATGCTGAAGGTGAACAGAGCATTTGTGTGCTTTGTATGTGGGGTGTCCACTGGCACAGAACAGAGGGTTCTCATTCTTGGAACCCTCCAGGCTCCTTTTATCAAGCATCTGCCACTCAGTCAGTCAGGTACCACAAAGAAACAAAAACCAAATGATCCTTGCCCTCAGAGAGCTCATATACAACTGAGAAAAAGCCACATGTACATAAAGCTTTAAAAAATAATTTTGGGAGACGGGGATTCACTAATAACCAAGAAGGTCTTTTATAGGAAGTGGTGGGATCAACCTGAGCTGGAGATTCTAAGAAGCAGAGGTGAGGAAGGAGGGCAGTCCAGGAACCAAGGTGGGGGGTTGGAAGAATGTCATGTGCAGAAAGCTGCGAGTGAGCCAGGAAGAAGCCATAGGGAGGAGTAGAACCATCCTGGAATGATGGGCTGGACTGAGATGGGAAAGGCCGGTGGCCTACAGAAAAGGCAGATGTGGCCAAAGGTAAGACAGGGACATAGGGTCATAGGGTTATTAATTAGATTACAGAGGTCTAACAGGATAGGAAGGAAGGAAGGAAAGAGGTAGGGAAGGGGAGAGAGGAGGGAAGGAAGCAGACTGTCCTGTGGCCCAGTTTCATCCCTATTGCCCTAGGCTACCAGACATCGTCCCTCTCCTCTCCCTTGCCCTCCACTCCCCATTCGAGCTGAGCTGACAGAACTTCAGTGGGGCTCCGATGTTGTCTGTCAAAAGTCACCAGCCTAGCCCATCCTGAACTAGCAGTGGTGAATCAGTCTGAGCTGTTCACGGGACACAGTGAACCGATGCACTTTATGGTTGAGCTTTGCCTAGTTGTGTTGCCCTTCATGGCTAGTCCTGGCCATCTCTGCTTTCATGTTGTGTCCTAGAGAATCTCCAGGTCCCTAAAGGCCAGTGTCCCTGAGGCTCAGGCATGAGCTTGGCTGCTGGACTGGCTGGACGCGAGCTGTGCCCACTCCTTGACCCTGCCAGTTGCCTGGCATGGCTGAGGCTTCTTCTGTCCTGGCCTACTGCTAGCTAAGTTACGGTTCTGGAAGAGAGAAGGAGGTGAGCCAGGAAGGCCAGTTAGCCTGTTAATATCATGATTTTAACTCCCAGGGCCTATCTCCAGCAAAAACCAAAGCAGAAAAGAATGTCAACCACGTGATACAGGGCAGAGGTTGGAGCCCTAAAGCTGTCTTCCAAGCACAGATCCCATCTCTCAGTTTGGGCTTTCCCATGACTCCAGGAAGTTTCTGAGGAGCATACAAAGAGGTTCCTTCTGGCCGAAATTAAATCAGTTACTTGACAAAAAATGGAAAATGTCTGTGTAGAACAGCCTGTTGGTTACCATGCCATAGGTAGGCATGAGTTATTATTTAGCAGTGTTTAAACTTTGTATTAGGCGTTTTGGGGACCGCTAGTGAAAAAATAGGAAACCATCAGCTTGATGAGACTCAATAGGAAATAGGAAATACCATTCAGTTAATTACTCACATCAGAACAATTAGACTAGTTCATGATTGTTCTTTTCCAAAGGAAAATACTGTCTCCTGAAATGTTCAGCACCAGTGTGCTCATAGATGGAAGATGATGGCTAGCTGCCCATTGCTATGGAGACAGAAAGAGACATTGACAGGCAGACTCTGGTTTGGAATGGTAATTCACCCTGCTCTAGCTGGCACTCAAAGCCTGGCAAAATCTCTCCCTCACAATGACCTTGTGAAGTAGGCAAGGCAAGGATCATTATTCCCTTTGCACAGATGAGGAAACTGAGGTACAGAGAGAACTGATTGGTTCCCACATATTTGCTAGTAAATAGGCAGGAGGATTCATATCCAGGTCTCCTCCCTCTAAATTCAGTGCTCTGTCCAGCATGCCACATTGTTTCTCAGAATCTGATGACAGTGAAACCTATTTTCCTTCCTTCCTTCCTTCCTTCCTTCCTTCCTTCCTTCCTTCCTTCCTTCCTTCCTTCCTTCCTTCCTTCCTTCCTTCCTTCCTTCTTTCCTTCCATCTTTTTTCCTTCCTTCCATCTTTCATTCTTTCCTTCCTTTGTTTCTTCTGTCCTTTCCTTTCTTCATTTTTTCATTCTTTCTTTCATTTCTTCTTTCCTACCCTCCTTCCTCTTACTCCCAGGCTATAGAAAATCTCTCTGACTAATCTTCACTGCCCCTCCCCCCACTGCAATTCCTCATACTTTTTTTGGAAATCAGCCTGTGCTCACAATTCCCCATCAAAAGCAAGTGTCAATAATGAACGCACAGTAATAGCAGAAACAGTAGCCCTTCTAGCAGAAATGTCCTAAGAGCTCCTTCCCATGAAGCCTTGAGTCATACTGGCATAGGCTACCAGCAGTGGCCGTGGGGCAGACAGTTTGCCTCATGGCGTGGCCTCGGTCTCTGTGGCACTGGCCTGGCCTGGACATGGGACTTCCCCACCTGGTTCAGAGGACGTCCTCCCAGCCCCCAAGGTGGCTCCTCTCACTGTGCCACTTTGACTTGCTAGGATAAAAGAACCACTGAGCTCTCTGGGTCTGTGCCCTTGTAGCTATGGGCAGATGCCTACCTTCCCAGGCCCAGAGTCAGGAGAGAGGGACCGCACAATAATGGCAGTGCCAACACGTAGGGAGGCAGTGGTGACTGCAATGGGGTGCTGTGTTTTGGGAAGTTCCCAGGACAGCGGAAGGAGCCACAGGACTTCTGATGAGGATACATCTTTTCTAGTAGCAATAGCTGGATTGGTTTGAAGGTAGTTCTTAGAGGAAGAGGAGGAGAGTGAGGGGGAAGGGGCAGGGAGTGTACACGAAGAGGCCAGGCCAAAGACAGGAAGATGGCGGGGCAGGGTGTGAAGCACAGCTGGGCCAACCAGGTATGGAGCAGGCCATCCAGCCACGGGAGCTTATGCTCACACAGTCCCACGGCATGGGCCCAGAGAAGGAGGGCTAAAAGTAAAAAGTCCCCTGGGGCATGATTCTCAGAGGCCCTGGTGGCTGGGGTGGGCATCATGCCCATGTTGTTGCAGACTCAGATGGCATTAGCTACCTTGGCTGCCTTCCACACAGTTGACTTCTCAGGAGAATTGCAGTCCACTTAGATGCTGAAATCTGGTTCAGACAAACTGCTGTCTACCCATAATTCCCGTCTTGGTTTTATGCAGTTGATTTTTTGAACCCAAGCATATGTCTTAACAGAATGCATTTCAAGTTTTAAATTATCCTCAGATCGATATTCTAGCCAGTTAGTATCTTTTTTGATCCGAACTCTCTTATGTAGTGTGTTAGCTTTTCTTCCCAGCTTTGCATCATCTGCATATTTTTTAAGCCTGCCATTCATGCCTTTATCTGAGTCACTGATGAAAATGTTCAACACAACGCCAAATCCAGAGGGCTAGCCACCAGTTCCTGGGGGCACTGCCCAGAGACCCCTTTCCCAGTTGACATCAATCATGAATGACTGCCCTGTGGGTCT